TAGTCTCTTATCCCATTTTCCATTCACAATAGCCTTATCTACTTAAGCAGGTCATTCAAGATAGTTGGAGATTCAACTATCATTGGAGATACATTGGAGATTCAATAACTGCCTTCTTTTGAGCCTCTTATTAGCAGTTCAGCTACTAGGTATACTGGGTGGCCACAGCAGGGAGATGAGCTCTGTAGGCAGCTGGATCCAGAATATTTTGTTACATTGAAGAGTCTCTGCTCCAAATATAGGGTCTTCCTTCTCATAAACTGGTTTACTGTAAAGATAGCTAAACTTCAATTTTGTGCTCCTTGGGGCAAACAGGACCTTCACCACCCAGTATCCTATAGACATATTTGTCTTCCATTGTATGCAGTAATTACAGTAGTTTGGTGGGGCTTATGATTTGTTTCATAATCTTTCAAACACTTTTGGTATGGATTGTTTCACACTTCGTTCCCAAGATATATTACTGATACTTGCTGCTGCTTTTCCTCCTGTTTCTTGTTCCACTGGAAAAGAAAATTAAAACTGGAATGTCTATTGGAATGTCTGTCCCATAAACCACTGCCTGCTTGATTTCTACATTAAGAAAAACTACAGTGGATCTGATCAGGCTTTGGGTGCCATGTAGGCACAATTTAGCATATATGAGAAGCAGTTATACGCCGTGAATAGGGCCACAGGGGTACTATGGTCAGATGTGTAAGTTGTCAGCTCATAAAATATATCTATGGTCTTTTTAGAGTTGCCAACAGAAAGGAAGGGGGGAGCAGTGCAGCAGCTTGGAAACCGAAAGTGCATTCCATAAATAGTTTTCAAAGATAGTAACTAGGTGACTGAAATTTCTGCTGTGCAAAATTCTAACTGGAGAACATGATAGGTGACTCTTGGTTATGGATGTGTCCCATTAGAGAATATGAATTACAATACACCCAGGGGGTGGGGGGGAAACCAGGGTCAAGGGTGACAATGAATTATGTGTCTCAGAGTCGGCTACACCCAGGCAGTGCCGGACATTTTAACTCCCAATAAATCCTTTTGAAGTTTTGGAAATTTGGCTCAAGACTCATGATTTAAATGGGGGTAACTGCCAGAATCCTGACATAAGTTCTGTATCTGTCTCTATCTCTTTCTCTTTATTTGATTTTAGAGGCTCGGAATAACCAAAATGGATCCTAAAACATTAACTGCAGATGAGATTAACAAATTTGTGCGACTTGATATAGACACATCTACAATAACATGGCAAAGAGGTTGGTATTAAATAACAGGTGTCTCCATCTAGTCTACTTTGCTCTTGCATAAAGTTATCGACTAGATACCTCCTGGAAAGTTTCAACCTTAACATAAACAATGACTTTTGAAAGAAGCAGAGTTTTATATGCAGTTTTTGACAAAAGCTTCTTTTCAGAACTGATTCAGTTATTCAGTGAAAAGGAAAAGAAAACTGTGCATTTGCTTAACTATCTTTTGTGACGTGATAATGGTCTCTGGAAGCAGAGCAAAATCTGACATCCTGATTAATATTTTGGAAACATGTTAATAAGCATGGTCTTGATTTTTCCTGCATATTCCATACTTTGAATTTTGAGAACTGGAAATATGATAAAAGTTCCCCTTCTTTTAACTCAGTGATTTTATTGCTCTGGGCTAAAGACCCACAAACACCCAACATAAAAGCTATATAAATGTTCTTCCCATTCCTTAAGCTTTTTGCAATTCTCAGCGAATTTGGTGAATGTGAAAGATCCTGCTGTAAGAATCCCACTCTCACCCAGAATAAAAGCATAGACAATTTGCATAAGCAATTTGTGGTGGAAAGCTGTAGTGTAACTATCTTTGATTTCCTTAGTTTTTCATAATAATACCATAGCAACTGGAAATGGGAGAGTGTTGGTGACAATTATAAACACTGGCTTGATAATAGGTAAGCCAAAGCATGTGAATTGTGGGTCTTCCTCAAAAATATACATATCCTGTGAGTGTGTGAAAGTATTAGGATGGTGTATTTTTGTCACAGTCCACTTATGACATTCACGGGTCCCATTTCCTGAAAAACCTGCATTTAGAATTGGATGAAGGGATCATAAATAACAGTGTTGACTGTTTCTCCAGTAGGAATTTGTTGAAGGAGCATACAACCTTGTGACATATTTTTTTTCTGATATCAAGAAATACAAAAGGAGAAGGTTTGCCTTAAGACGTAACAACAGACATTTCTTTGTTTTATTGATTGCTGCAGCTAGTAGGAGATATTTATGCTATTTCCATGTAATCAGGTCCCTGACTGGCCATGACTCCTGTTTGTCTCGAAGGGGCCTAGGCAGGGGTGGGATATGACAGGGTTAACTACCGGTTTGGGATTTACGAGCTTCCCTGCACGCTGTGAGCCGCGCGCCTGTAAATCGTCATCAGCATGCTGTGTGCAGAGACGCAGCCTTTGAAACAGCCCTCTTTTCCTGCTTTTTTAACTGCAGCTGTGCCTCGTTCGGCAGCTGAAGTTGAAAAATCAGGAAATAAAGATCAGGTAAGAGCCCGGGTGGGCAAAAACATCAGCAGACATAGAACCGGTTCTATGTCTGCTGCTCTTCAGAGCTACCGGTTCTACAGAGGTGGACAGAACCGATAGAAACCCACCCCTGGGCCTAGGCACCTCTCCCTGTGTGTGGCTCTTTGCTGTCTGCTGTCATCAAATCTAAGACTGTCACAGGCTGGTTTTGGTCATAGAACAGAAGTATATATTTGGCAGATGGAATTTAGCATACTAAGTAATTCTAGAACAAATACATAATGCACTTTGGTAAATCTAGGTTGCATTATGGTAAATCTAGGTTACTTGTCCATGTATATATCCTATCAAAAAATTATAAACTTGTCCCCATTTTAGATGTAACATGGAACACCCTATAAGTTAGTCATTGCTTTCTTCTTCCATGATGTTGCAAGGTATAGTTTTCCTTCCAGAATGAGTAATAAAAATCAGAAGAGTCAAGAAAATATCTGTAACTCAAAGGGTTTTTAAAATGTTCTGTATTTGTGTTCTACAAAATGTTATTTTAGAAAGCTTGTTTGATTTTTGTACATTAGTGGTCTTTTTTTCCATATGCATATTGAATTTAAATACCATCTAATGTCTTATAAACAAAAAGCCTTCCTTAAATGTCTGCATTCTCCATTGCAGTAGAAGAGCATGTCCTTCCAAATTTTAATTTTATTTCTTTATTGAACAAACGTATCACCCCTCTACCAGAAGGAAATTTGGGTGGTAAATAGAATAAAAACATATTACATAAAAGGACCATTTAGAATATGCTCATTGTTCACCTAAATGTAAAGGTAAAGCCTCTTTCAAGTCAGTTTTAACTCCTGGTAACTTCATGGACATGTCAGTGTTGTTTTCTCCATAGCACTATGATCTTCCTTCTTCTGGGACATTTTTTTTATTTTTTATTTGTCTAACAGTCTAACCTAGAGTTTTCGTGTTCCCTGGAAATCTGTCATCCAAATATTAATAGAGTCTTTAAATTTATTAAATTATCTTTATTTCCAACAATTATTGGCTCCAAGGGTAATTTGGATTGTTTTAATTGAAAAATGAGATTCCAATGATGAATGTTCAGAAAAATGGTCAATTTGGGGGGAATTCTAAGAAAAGGTCATTCTATCTTTGTCGCTGAAAAGTTAAGTTTTCCTATAGACAAAGTTTAGTGAAGATAATTTTATAGAAGGTTTTTTTATATGATTTTGCTAAGCAATATTTTGAAATGCCTTTTTCTTCAGAATTTTGCAGCATAAATTCAGCGCCAGAAAAATACACCAAGATAAATTCCTTGTGTGTCCAATCACACTTGGCCAGTAAAGTATTCTATAATCACAGATGGCTGATGCTTCATTTAACATCTTTATAAACATATTAAGTAAATTTTACAATACAAGTTGTAGATTTCTCCAACATGCAGCAAACTCAAACAGAAGCAGACATGTTACAGGTTCAGAGCAGAGCTCTAGTTTTCAGCAAGCAAGTTAGTTTCTCTTTCACTTTAGAGCTGTGCACTAGTTTTCAGGGAGCAAGCAGAGGAGAGAAGCAGTTTCATTTTCAACAGACAGACTCAGAACTTAACATAGCTTCAGAGCTGCAGAGCTTAATATATAGAGCCACGCCTAGACTCTCTCTTAAAGAGAGAGTTTCAACCCTCAATTCAGCTCTCATTGGCTGAGCTTGTTACTAAGCTCTATTCCAGTTCATGAATATACTCTGACACTTTTGACTTTGTGTCTATGTTAAAATATTAATAATTTACACTCCGGAATGAATATTTTAAATATTTCTATAATTGTTGTATTGCAGAAAATGTCGTTATTCTAGTCCCATGTATAAGTTTGCAGCAAAATTTAACCATGCAAAAAAATTATGTTATTCTGTCCTGCTACAGTTCCACGCTTCCATAGCGTTTCAAAAGAATAACATACATTAAAGATAATGAAATATGTGGTTACTTAAATTATATTTATAACAGGGTGAGATGTGCAAACATTTCCCACCCAATTCTCGTAGAAGAACAGAAGCTTTGATACTTTAGTAAATATTTCAACTATTTGTTTTCCTTTCAGTGGTGGATACAAATGATAGATTCCTTAGAAAAATAACAATTGGCCAAGCAAATACAGAGAAGGGATTTTCTCGCCAAGTAAGTAAAGTTCCAATACACTGTATGTTTGAGATTAAATTTCATGTAGACTTTATGATGCTCCGTTCCTGCTATTATTTCAGTAAATTGATATACGAAGGCTTAGAAATGAAAAAATCTTCACCATAGCTTGACATGCAGTTTAAGATAATTATTTCTGTTTCTGTTAAACATAACCGATGTTTATTCCAGGAGTTCAATCCACTTTACTATCAATAGCATAGGAATAATTTCATTTCAGCATAGAATTAGATAGAATTTGAAAAAATATGTAGAAATAGAACTCAATGGTATTTATGTATTGATAAATTAACTCAAAAATGACATGGATGAAATGGCCACCTGAGTATACTCTTGAGAGCACTTAAGAGCCTATTGCTAAACAAAATAGAGTGGAACCTCGGATCGCAAATGCTTCTGTTTGCGACCAAATTGGGTGACGACCAGTATTTTTGGCAAAATTTTGTTTCTGGTCGTGAACACATCTTCAGGTGGTGACCAGACACAGCCACAGCGATTTTCCCTGCTGCAGTGATTTCCCCTTTAGCGCCAGGTGCCAATTTATTTTTGTCCACGCATGTGCAGAGGGTCGCCCTTCCGGTCACGATCAAATCTGGTTGCAGTCGAAGTCCTGGAATGGATTATGGTCATGACCCAAGGTTCCACTGTAAATATAAGAGAAAGATATCATATGGAATATACAACCTCCTTCAAGCTTAATGTGATTGGCAGGTGGTCCTAGTTCTTTCTATAAACATAGCTAGAGAACTAACTAGATAAGAAATTGGTCTTCCAAATAACCATAAAGGCAATGTTGTCCTTTACTATGTTGAATGAGAGAGTATGTTATATAAGCTTTCCCTAGGGCTACACGGATCAAACCATTTAGCCACCATTCCTTGCACTCAGGTAGGTACTGAGCTCTTGGGATGTTATCTAGCACCATGCTGATCTTGCTGAGCTTTATAGAACAGTAGAGAACAATATAAAATAAATGCAAAATAAAAACAATGTAAAATATAAAAATACAAGTGAGCTATACATGGTGTCTAAAAAAACTGCAGATTGTTTTGTTGTTTTCTTAGCAAGAATAAGCAAGTGGTTTCCATGATCTTCTGGGTATTATTGTTTTTTTTTAACTTCCCAGTCTAACCGACAGCTGTGAGACTATGCTAGGCATGTAGGAGATCTAGTTATGAGCTTTGAAAGTCTATTTTCTATAACTTTCCTTTTCTGTTCACAGACTCAGTTTGATATAGCTGTTGCAAGTGAAATAATGGCAATATTAGCATTAACCAGTAGCCTGTCTGATATGAAAGAGAGACTGGGGAAGATTGTAATTGCTAATAACACAAAAGGGCAACCTGTGACAGCAGAAGATTTGGTATGTATTATTTATTTATAATGTTTTTATAATGTTTCAGTGGTTGACAAGCAGCAACATAATATAAAATAATACAGTAATCATAAAAAATAGTCAATTTTATCAAATAATAATACAAGCAAACATGAAATAGAATAGAATAGAATACTTTATTGGCCAAGTGTGATTGGACACACAAGGAATTTGTCTTGGTGTAAATACTCTCAGTATACATAAAGAAAAGATACATTCATCAGGAATCGAGAATCATAAGGTATGACACTTAATGATAGTCATAAAGTACAATCAACAATCAAATCATACTAGGAAGCAGTCAATATAATTTGTAAGGATACAAGCGACAAAGTTACAATCCTACAATCACAAGTGGGAGGGGATGGGTGATAAGGAGTGATGAGAAGATTAACAGAAATAGTAGTGCACACTTTGTAAATAGTTGAACAGTGTTGAGGGAATTATTTGTTTAGCAGAGTGATGGCTTTCGGGAGAAAAACTGTCCTTGTGTCTAGTTGTTCTGGTGTCCAGTGCTGTATAGCGTTGTTTTGAGGGAAGGAGTTGAAACAGTTTATGTCCAGGATATGAGGGGTCTGTAAATATTTTCACAGCCCTCTTTTTGACTTGTGCAGTATACAGGTCCTCGATTGAAGGCAGGTGGGTAGTAATTGTTTTTTCTGCAGTCCTAATTATCCTCTGAAGTCTGTGTCTGTCCTGTTGGGTTGCAGAACCAAACCAGACAGTTATAGAGGTGCAGATGACAGACTCAATAATTCCTCTGTAGAACTGTATCAGCAGCTCCTTGGGCAGTTTCAGCTTTCTGAGTTGGCACATAAAATCATAAAACAATACCATATATAGTGCCAGACAAAACCTCATCAGTTCCCCAATACTGCTACCTACATATGTCTCTGTCCCCAAATGCATGCTGGAAAAGTGAGGGTACAAATCTTATAGCTGGCAGGAGTGCAGGAGCACAGGAGCTACTTTCCTGTTAAAAACATCTTCTTCAAACACTATATCTTAACAAGGAATGGAAAGCAAGCACTCTGTATAAGCACTCTATCTCTTTAGGCTTTGTTTAGAGTACGCAATCTCAATCAGCCTTTAAGGCAATGTTGGCAAACCTTTTCAGCACTGAGTGCCAAAATGAGAGCGGGCGCATGAGCATTGGAAACTGGAAAAGCATCTCCCTGGCATGCACGCAGGAGTGCCGGAAACCGGAAGAGCAGCTCCCCAGTGCACATGCATGCCAACCACCTGGTTTTCTGGTTTCTGGCATACATGCGTGCGTGAAAACCATGTGGCCGGCACACATGGACACACCAGAAACTGAAAACTCAGCTTCCTGGTGCACGCATGCGTGCCAGGCAACTGCTCTTCCGGTTTCCTGCACTCACGCACGTAAAGAACACAACGCGCCGGAACCCAGAAGAGCAATGGGCAACAGCTGGCGTGTCCAGAGAGATGGCTCTGCATACTACTTCCAGCACGCGTGCCATAGGTTCGCCAGCTCTAAAGCATGTAGGATTTGAAAGGGAATCCCAACATCTTGAAATGCACCTGAAAATATATCAGCAACGGATATAGGATACATGGTGGAAAATGCCAAGACTACTGCAAATAGTAAAGAACAGTTTTCCCTGTTAATGTGCAGAGCATTCCATTTTGCTTTTTTTTTTTTTTTTTTTGCATGAGCTTTAAGCATGCAGTGTTTTTTGAAAATGTTTTTTGGGGTTTAGAAATACAGTGCAGCAGGGGATAACATGCTACCTACCTATTCATGAGCCAGTTGCTCAGACAAACCAAACATTAATCTACATGCATACATTCTTCTTGCTTTTTTTTTTTTGAAAAGGACTTTAACCACTTTGCTTTCCTGTTGCTTTCATCCCTCTTGGGGTAGAGAACATGGGAGAGCTATCACAAGTAACTATTTGTAGAACATTAGTAACAGTATCCTCAATGTGTATATTTTGATTAATAGAAAAGTAAAGGTTTCCTTGTCCAGTCATGTCTATCTCTAGGGGAGTAGGGCTTAACTCTGTTTCTTGGCCAAAGGAGCCAGCATTGTCTGAATACATTTTCCATGGTAATGTGGCCAGCATGGCTATTCTCCAAAGTCACATAGAACACTATTATGTTCCCACTGAAGTGGTACCTATTAATCTACTTGCATGTGCATGCTTTCAAACTGTTAAGTGGGCAGGAGCTGGGGCAAGTAACAGGAGCTCGCCCCATTTTGGAGCGCTCGGGTCTTGAACCTGGACTGCCAGCTTTGCAGCTGACAAGCTCTGAATCTTTAACCACTGACCCATTGCAAACCCCTCCCCATTTTGATTACTATTAGCATATATTCAAATGTGAATTTATTTTTTAAAATTACTTTGCTCTGTAATCTTTTTCATAAGTTTTTACAATTCCTAATTTAATATTCAGCCAAAACCACTAATTCCTTCTTTCTTTTATTTCATTCGGATATGAATAATATTTAATATACCCAGCAACTCTCTTTGGTCTGAATTTTTAAGAGTGCTATATCACATCTTGAGCATAATGTAATGAAATCTAAAATACACATTGGCCGATGAAAACCAGATGCTGCAAGGAATGGAGATGGGAGGAGGCAGAGAAGGGAAAGATAAACTGAATGTTTAATAAATGCAGAAGCTCTTTTCAAAAGTGTAATGGTTTTTTAGAAAGCCTGCCTCAGTAATGGCACACTACAGGGTTTGTTGCCAAAATATGATGTTCATTGAGCAGTCTTAAAGACTAGATTGCAATTTGGCTGCTATATCATAACAAAATGTTTGATGGATTGATGCTATATCTTCATGGTAAATTAAACTGGCACTCTCAAGATAAGTATTTCAGCAGCTTTAAGGAATATTAAATAAATATGTACCGTGTTTCTCATATAATAAGGCCGGGTCTTATTTTTTTTTTTGAGCCCTGAAAAAATGGCTAGGCCGTCTTTTCAGGGGTGACTTAATTCCCCCCCCTTGCATCTTTGGATGGGCGGGTGGCGACGGCTTGGATGTTGACCTCGGCATTGATGGGGCACTTCGTATTGGGGTCAACGCAGGCAGCACCATATCCGGGTGTGCAACAAAAGTATTTCCTAACGGCAAGCCCCCCCACCATTCCCCCCCATTTCGCATGTTTTAATATAGGTCTTAATTTGGGGGGAGGGGCTTAATTTCATTTCATCCCTATAAAACATGCTGGGACTTCCTATTGGGGGAGGCCGTATTGTTGGAGAAACAGGGTAGCTATTTATATAGTAATGGCATTTATCAAGTTACGTATTTTAGAAAAATATAGAAATACACCTACTTAGTAATTTATTCGTTTTACAAAGAATGTACAGATAAGAATATTTCTGCAACCAAAACACGTGAGGATCAGTCGTAAGTCACTTTTTTTTCAGCCCCACCATATCTAAATGGTTGTTAAATGAATGGTTATAAGTTAAGGGCTCTTAACTCTTTACAATGAATCTAAGATATTCTTTGAAAATTTCATTAAAAATTGAAACTCAGCTTTAATCTAAAAGGCCCAGTGTTGGACAATTACTAAATCATCAGACAAATTATCTATATATGAAAGCACCTGCAAAAAAGTTGGGCAGCTTGGAAGTCAGTTGCAGATTTTAAAATTAATATTATTTGTTTATGTGCTATCAAGAAATTGTCATCTCTTATTGATCACATAAACATGGCAAACTTTCAGATTGCTACTATTTTAACAACTTATAGTGGAAGGAAGGAAGGAAGGAAGGAAGGAAGGAAGGAAGGAAGGAAGGAAGACAGTCTGCTCTTAGATTTCAGCCAGCTATTTTTAAAAACGTGCAGATTAATGCAATGCCCTATTTGTCTTACAGCTTTTCAGCTAATGTTGAAAGTATGCTACTTCTATGCTTGAATTTGCATAAATCAATAGCAGCTAATGAGAGAATTAATTAATTGTCTTTACTATAAATTGTGGCAATGAATTCAATTTAATTCTGTTCTGAGTGAAAAAGACCATCCATTTGTATAGCCTATATTTCTTGTATTACATTGGATGACCGTAGGTTCTGTCATTATAGGAGACTGAGAAATAAATTTTTCCAAACTAGGTATGATTTTAGTGATCCAACTGCCTTTTAAGAAAAATGATTAAAAGCCCCAATGTTGCTGGTAACTGTAATTAATTAATTAATTAATTAATTAATTAATTAATTAATTAATTAATTCTTTATGGCCAAGTGTGATTAGACACACAAGGAATTTGTTTTTGTGCATATGCTCTCAGTGTACATAAAAAGAAAAGATACATTTGTCAAGAATCATAAGATACAACACTTAATGTAGTCGTAGGGTACAAATAGGCAATCAACTCATACTAGGAAACAGTCAATATAAATTGTAAGGATACAAGGAAACAAAGTTACAGTCATATAGTCACAAGTGGGAAGGGATGGTGATAGGAGTGATGAGAAGATTAATAGTGATAGTAATGCAGACTTAATAAATAGTTGAACACTGTTGAGGGAATTATTTGTTTAGCAGAGTGATGGCGTTTGGGGAAAAACTGTTCTGGTGTCTAGTTGTTCTGGTGTGCAGTGCTCTATAGCGTCGTTTTGAAAGTAGAAGTTGAAACAGTTTATGTCCGGGATGTGAGGGGTCTGTAAATATTTTCACAGCCCTCTTTTTGACTCGTGCAGTATACAAGTCCTCAATGCAAGGCAGGTGGGTAGTAATTGTTTTTTCTGTAGTCCTAACTATCTGTTGAAGTCTGTGTCTGTCCTGTTGGGTTGCAGAACCAAACCAGACAGTTATAGAGGTGCAGATGACAGACTCAATAATTCCTCCGTAGAAAGTTATATAACTTCCCAATCCTTATTTCTCTTTCCCATCTCTACAGTGTCCATTTCAAAATGGGGCATAATCCAGGTTCCAAATCTTGCCTCACATTTTAATAGGAAAAGCAGTAAGGCTTTAACAATTGTAATATCGTAATACGCTGATAATTTCAGTAGTAGCTGCTCCCCTCCCCACTCCTCAAAAATAAAATTTGTTAGGAGAGACTGGTTGCTGGAATCTTCTGGTTCTTCTAGATTTTCTTCTGCTGGCAGTTTATAAGTGCCCTCACAATATCTGCTGGAGGTGCTTGCTCATTAATAAAATGCTGGCATGGGAGGCAAAGAGTTACATACTACTAATTTATCAGAATCTTAGCTGCTACCTCCTTCACACACATACTTACCTAGCAGGATGCTCCGTATTGTCCTTATTTACTTTTGTCCTTTTTAATAATAGCAGAAGGTGAATTGTTCAACTCCAAAGTTTGAATACAAATCCCCATCGTTTTTATTTCCTCTGAAAACTTGCAGGGCCCATTTATGTTCCCGAGACACTGACAGTTTTACAATATAGATAGGCTGATGTTTTATAGGCGGGACAAGAAACTTGCTAGACATTTTTTGAAAGGTCCAATGTACATTCAAAATCCGGAACATCAGGTTGAAGACATCAGCAATGCGGATTATAGAAGGCAGCATGAATGAGCTAGACAACTATTTTTCTTCAAAAGAAGCACACACACCCCTTGAGTTTACAAACACTACTTTTGATTTCTCCTGAGCCCAACACAATCTAAGGAAGATCTTGGGATCTTGGGAAAAGTAGTGGTCTTAAATAATGTCAAGTAATTGAACCACATAATAATGTCAAGTTATTAAACCACATAACTCTTTGGTGACTTGTGCCTTGACATATTTTAACATTTGGTACAGGTTATTTCTTTGAAAGTATAAATGTTGTAAAATCAGAAATTTATTTGCGGTTTATAGAAATTGAGGCCATTTTTTTGTCTTGTTTCTTTTAAGTTGTGATACCTTCATACTGTAAAGCTAGAATAATAAATTTATCCATTCTAGGTTTTTTTGTTTTTAGCTAAATTACTTGATGCCTTGGGTTAGTTTGCTTGAACTTCTTCTTAGTTTCAAATAACATTAACCTTAAAAATAAAACAAAAATCTCTTTGTTTTAGGGAGTAACTGGTGCTTTGGCAGTTTTGATGAAGGATGCAATTAAACCAACACTGATGCAGACTTTGGAGGTGAGTCCAGTCACCTGTAATCCAAGGTTCATTTCTTTTTTCATAAGTCTAAGTTGCCAACATATGTTTTCAAAGTTTTGAATATCTTAAGGGTGCAATCACTGCTATTCATCCCCTAGAAAAATGGGGTTCACTCACAGTACAAATAGTGTTGAAATAATAATATGAACCCTTAGTTACATACACAAAATAAAACATAAAAAGCTAGGAAATACAAATGCCATTTGCCTGCAAACCCCATCTTCAGTTATAGCACTCCTGCTGTGTCTGGAAGAGGAGGTTCAACAGTTTTCTTCAAGAAGAGGGTTGAAACTAAGCAAATTTTATTGGTGTGATGATCCAAAGAGTGAGGGCAATTATATTGAAAATGGCTGCCTCAGAGGCCTGACAACTGACAGAATCCATACAGATGAGATCAGAAATGAATTGAATCTATTTAATCTGGCTGGATGGGCAGATAAATATAGGAGAAGATGGTCCAGGTCCAGAGTCAAATAGGACATTAAAAATGACAGCCAGCACCTTTAATTACACCTGACATCAATGCATGTCCTGAAGCAATGAAAAGTGAAGCATCCAAGCTTTGCCCAGGCTGCCATATTTCGGACCAGATGTAGCTTCCAAAAGCTCTTCAGTGGCCCTTTGTAGAACATGTTATGGCACTTGAAATGGAAGATGAGTAGCCTTGAGTGACCCTGAACAGGTCCTCTTGGTCCAGGAATAGTTTCAAATAGCACACAGTGTGTAGTTGTGCAAGAGCCCTCCAGCCACAGTTGCCTTTTGTTCTTCAAGTAGGAGCTTTGAATCTACGTGAACCTCTAGTTTGTAGACAACCCCTGTGTGAGAGAGAGTATAACCCCATTCAGATGGACTTTCTCTGGGATCATATGATTCTATCATGGAGATATTTAGTTGGAATCTGCTCCTCCCCCAGAAGAAGGATCCTGGCCCCCATCCACAAGCACAACCAATTTGCTTTCCATGTTGTGCCCCACCTGCAACCCGCAGAGACCTCCAGAGACAGCAAATTATTTAAGGATCTAACTGAGCTACTTTTAGAGCTGTCTGCAGTTGCATTCCTCTCAGAGGAATTTTACATCAATGGAATCAGTTGAGAACCCTGCAGATCTAAGAGTGAAAAAGAGTTAGCAGGTACTCTATTACATTTTTACTGTAAATGCACATTTTACATTTTGACTTTCTATCTGTGAGAGTCAATGTATGCATCCAAAGAAGGAAAATTCATTTTATTATGTGATGTTTACTCCTATATAAGATGGTACACGTTACAGCCTGGTGTACATGGTCTAATTTTAAAAATCTTGAGTTATGACAATGAGTTGATTGAAGGAAAGGGCTTAGTTGCAGTTCTTAGCAGTTCTGTACAAAGAGAACCAGATGGTGGCGAGGGTGCAGTTATGGATTATAAAGTAAGGTAATGAATTCTACACATTAATAATGAAATTGTTATGACATAACTCACTAAATGAACCTGGATTTGCAACAAGAAAGTTTAATTATGTGTTTATGTGTTTAATAATACACCACATATGACACAATCAGTAACATGGGATTGCTCTAGAACAGAGTTGTCAAACTGGCAGTCTGCGGGCCAGATGCGTTACGTGCAGGCCACGCCCACCCTAGCTCCACCAATGGGGAAAACATTGCAAAACGTTATGTGACAGCAACATGATGGCACGAGTTTGACATCCATGCTCTAAAAGATTGATTTATTATACCAGTAAGAAGATTGATTATATTATATCAATAAACTACTTCCTTATCTATGTCAGTTGTTGTAAAATTTAACCAAACGATTGCTCTCTTGTTCTTAATGCCACGTTGATTTAAACTTTAGTATAGAATTCAGTATGTCTATCTGTTCTTATTATTTTCTTCTAGGGTACTCCAGTTTTTGTGCATGCAGGACCTTTTGCAAATATTGCACATGGCAATTCTTCAGTTTTGGCAGACAAGCTTGCCCTGAAATTGGTCGGCAAAGAAGGATTTGTAGGTGAGAAAACTAATATTATTTTAGCATACTGCTGTAGGTCTGGAATAATTTAGTCTGAAATGTATTCTTAGGGATGAATGTCCAACTATATATTATCTAACAGCATTTGTTTGTGAAATTTTCAGTTTGGTTTATTTATTTATTTGGGATTCTATATTAAAACATTAAAATTCTGCTGATATTAGAGACAGTAAAATTAACGTTATTAAAACAGTTTTCATAAGAACATGGAATACACATTAAAGAAATACTTTCTAAGCACTTCCATAGTGCTCCAGAGCAAACCAGATGAAAAGAGGACTGTGAATTCCACTGTTTCATGTAGTCTTAGTGAAAGGGAAGATAATATTTCTGCTTAGATAGGTGTTTTCGGTCAATGATAGATCGTAGGCTTTGTTTTCTGGGAACCAACATGGCAGATACCTTCTCTGGAATAGATCTTTCCATTAGTAACTCTCCCATACATAAGAAACCCCTACCCCCCATGAGATAACTTTCTTAGGATGCCTAGGACGTTAGGTTTTCTAACATCCCTTGAAAGCTTTGGGCTTTCAACTAGTTTTATGTCTGGTGTTTTTAGCCTCTGCTGCTTTTAGCACCTTTTTTAATTGACACTGTGTTATTACGTGTTTCTATTGATTTTAGCTATGTTTTACTGCTTGCCACCCTGAAAGCTCATTCTATATGTATCTGCAACAATCTGTACTGATAATTTGTAGGTGCCTGCTATGATTTGGGGGTTTACTTATTTTGCTGGCATAAAATATTTATTGGTTTAAACTAAGAATGTTTGAGAAAATAATAACAAGATAAATCATTCTGCAACTATTCTGAATTTCCAGTGGATTCCTGATTTACTGAGTTGTTCTCTGGAGTTTTCCCTAACATAGTAAGATATTTCCTTATTTAAAAAAATTCAGAGGAGTGGATTCACACATGAAATATATATGATAAATTAATTCTTCTTTTGCAACTGAAAATAAAATGTATTGGCTCGTAGTATCCATGTTACTGAAACACTGCATATAGCCTTACAATTATTTCACCCTTATAAAGTCTGTTGGAATGGTCTGTAACTGAAGAATAGTGATGCCATGAATCAAGAACAGGAATAGACATATAAATGAAACCAAATAAAAACAGAGAAAAACAGTCACTATTTAGAATTTAGGTAAGTGTATTGTATTTTGTCCTGACCTGTTTGCTTTTTATCACAACCTTTGTCAAGGGGAGTAAATTACAGATTTAATTCTTTTAATATAGACTTTAATATAGAAGTGAAGGGTGTTGTATTGTTTGTATAAAGCATACAAAGATCCATAACTTCTCCTCTTCCCCTGACTCCTTTGGCACACAGGCCTTTTCTGTTATTATGACAGCAGATAACTGGATAACTTTTGGCAAACTTTTTCAGCATTGTAAACATCAGTAGAACTGAGCCTTTTTCGGCTGTCCAAATAATTTATTTGCTTTATGATACAGTTAAATTGATCATTGAAATAAAATACCTCATGATAGTTGCTGAGATATCTATGTAGCATGCATATAGTTTATTATGCCTACCCGCACTCCTAAATCCGCAACAGGTTTATAAATTACCTTGTAAAAAAAACACTGCAGCCTCAATGTTTAAGTGAAATGGATGCTATCCAAAACATTCTTAGAAATGTAAATGGGTTTGCTGTATTTCTTTTGTGATGGCTCTTTCTCCAAAAAAGGAAACAAAACCTCAGTTGTTCAGCTGTAAACCTCTTTTGGCAACCTAAGCACAAGTCTTAATATTTGCATTGTCCTAAGTTGTTTATAGCTGTTTGTGTTTGCCTGACTTCACAGAAAATTCACTATGCGATGAGTATTCTAAAGAGAGAATAGAATACTTGTATTGGACACACAAGGAATTTGTCTTGGTGTAAATACCCTCAATATACATAAAAGAACTCCTAGCTAGAGTATATTGTGGTGTAACAGTGCCTCTCTACTATTTCTTTTTCTAATCAATAAAATATCTAATGATTTCTTAGCATTATTTTATCTTAAATTAAGTTCTCATTTCCTGGCTTTTGGATCAAATATTAATTAAGAATTGTGTGTAAGGAGAATCATTGCTCTCAGTATTTAGCTGCAATTTAATCTCATTTCCCATTGCATTTCAGATAATAGATGGTATGAAAAAATACTCTATAATTTACAGAGAGATAGTACTACAATGTTGATGACGACTACTAACTCCCGTCCAGTTATAACATATAAATGATTTTAATTATTCAAAAATACACATAAATGTACTATGTAAAAAAAACAAACCCTCAAGATTGGAAGACTGTTTCCTTTGTCTCTGTAATATGTAATGAACCCCAAGCTTGAAAGTCATTTCCACGTGGCCCACAAAATTCAGGCAAAAACCGGGGACTTCCGGTTTGTCGGCTTCGCTAGCGGCAGGGATTCACGATACTGCGCGATCCCTGCGGCGCTAGCCGTTTTGGTGCCTCCGATCCAGACAGATTTGGAGGCTAAGGCTGCCCTGCAGGGGTGGCTGAAGACAGGGGGGATCCGGAGAGGGGTTTGGGGGTGTTGCAGACCCCCTCCCCGGCCGGCAAAACCCCCTTTTCTCAAGATGGTGCAGCGGCGGTCCGTAATGGCCGCCACAAAGAAGCCGGCAGCTGGGTAAGAATGTGCAGGAGGAAGAGGAGAAAGTTTTTTTT